GTCAAGCAGCCCCAGGCAGCTGGAAAGTGGCATGAAAGGTCAGGATCCACCCTACCCAGGTCTGCAGCAAGCATCACGGCACCACCGACAGCATCAGTGCCCTGAATTCCATGTTGTGTTAAACAGAAAGTCACCTGCCACAAGTCCACAGACAGACCAGCCCCCCAAAAATCAAAATCAGTGATGTCCTCATTTTATGAAATAAGAAACTAAGACCTGTGAAAATTAAGACACTCCCCCAATAGCTCATAGCTCACAAACAGCTGGAATCAGGGCTCAGCTGACCTGCTTTCCACTGGCATCATAACACTGGCACATCTAATGGGAGATCACAACAATGAAGGACATGAAAGAGGGGGAGGAGAAACGGGACAAAAGGGACAAGGGCTAAAGCAGTGATGTCCAGTAATTTCTCAAACATCAATTCTGCAAGAAAATACTTAGTAGTTACCTAAATTTTCTACAAGGTAAGCCACAGGCCTTGACTCAGACAGACGTGGACCCAAATCCGGGCTTTCCAACTTACCAGTTGTGACTCCGAATTAATTATTTAAATTCTCTAAGCCTTGGGTTCTTCATCTACAAGTGGAGATAACCAACATCGATCTCAATTGATCACGAAAACTGTTAAATGACAGCATACTCTAAGCTTTCAAAGGATTCATGGAAAATGCACGTTATGAAAAAAACCAATGTATGGATTTTAAAAGTCATTCACACCCAAATACTCTTACGTAAATAAATCTCACTTATACGAGAGCGTACATGATGTTAAATTTAAAAATGTTAAACATGGATTCAGTAAGAAGATGAAGTTATACATGGAGAGCTTTAACTCCATTCGTTATTTTTTAAGTGAATTATTTAATTTGTTTATTTTAAGGATTTATTTATCTACTTGAAAGGCAGAGTTACAGAGGAAATGACAGACAGAGGGAGAGATCTTCCATCTACTGCTTCATTCCCAAATGGCTGCAATAGCCAAGGCCATGCTAGGTCTAAGCCAGGGGCCTGGGGTTTCTTCCAAGTCTCCCACGTGAGTGCAGGAGCCCAAAGACTTGAGCTACCTTTAGCTGCTTTCTGAAGAGCACTAGCTGGGAAATGGGACAACCAGGACTTCAACAGGCATCCACACGGGATGTTGGCACTACAGGTGTGTTGGCTTAACCCATTGCACCACAGTGCCAGTTCCCCATTAGTACTTTTAAAATCCTTTGGTTAAATTATTTTATTAAAAAAATAAGAGGGATAGAGAGGGCCCAGATATTCCTGATGGGTGGCAAGACCCAAGAACTTGAACCATCTTCTGCTCCCTGCCAGGATGCATATTAGCTGAAAGATGAAATTGGAAGAAGAGTTGTGGCATGACTCAGAAATTCCAGTGTGGGATACGGGCATCCCAAGCACCACTGTGTCCAATCCCTGCCCCTAACCCTATTATGAAGGCTTTCTTTCCTAAAACATTTTCAAGGTACTTTTGTGTTTGCTTTAAAATGTTGCAAATGACCAGAGAAAGCAATTCGTACATGAGTAGTATTATGGGTTTGTTTTTTTAACGTTCATTTGTTTTTATAGAAAAAGCAGATCAAGTTTACACAGAGGAGAGAGTGCAATATCTCCTGTCCACTGATTCACTCCCCAAACAACCAAATGGCCAGAGCTGAACCCATCTGAAGCCAGGAGCCAGAGCTTTTTCTCAGTCTCCCATGCAGGTACAAGGTCCCAAGGCTTTGGGCCATCCTCTACTGCTTTCCCAGGCCATAAGTAGGGAGCTGGACAGGAAGTGGAGCAGCTGGCACACAAACGGGTGTCCATTTGGGATCCTGGCACTTGCAAGGTGAGGATTTCGCCATCACGCCAGGCCCGATTATGGTATTTATTAACCACGAAGTCCTTACGGTACTGGACACTGTAGCAAATGAGCCTTTCCAATCTAGACCAGGCCCTCTAGTCTCATCAGGGTCACAGCACCTGCATTCCAACTGCCATACCAGGCAGAATGACCTGATTGGTAAAAAGAAAGAAAAGATTCATGGTAACTTCTTAAGGGACTTTGCTAAGGTGACACCAGAAACAGGCCTTAAAAATACAGCAGAAAACTAAACCGCGGGAAAAAAAAACAAAAGGGCTTTATGCTAGCAATTGTGACACTGGCTCAATCGGGCTGCACACAGGCAGAGCCCAGGCGGGCAGGATCAGAAAACTCAGGCGAGGAAGGAAGATGAGAGAAAGGATGAACGTTTGGCACACTGAAGAGGAATGTCCAATTGCTTTCTTCCGCAACTTTCAAGAGTAAATTTTTCATGTTTTAAATGGTGGGAGAGTAGGGGAGGCAGCAGTCAGATTCCCACGCCTGAAGAAGAGCAGGAGTTCAAAACGACTCAGTCAAAGGGCGCTGCCTGAGCAAGCCCACCCACCAAGAGATGAGCAGTCACTCCAGCTGGTCCTGCGCAGCCTGCTCAGACTATCCCCAAAGCACAGGTCGAACCACCCAGCATCGAGATTCCAATCCAGTCACTTTAGGGAACAGCATGGCAGTGTCCCCTCAACACACAATAACCATAAAATCTGGCTATCCCATATTTAAGTGCTCATCCCAAACCAACAACAGGTCTGCACACAAACCCGCATTATTCACAACAGACAGAACGTGGAGGCACCCGACGGATGCCCGGATATACACACTATGGTCTACAGGTACAATGGAACGTTATTCAGCCTGCGTCGGAACGAAGCAGCAGGCATTCAGCTTGTGAGGACATCGCTAAGATTCCTGAGTCACACGTTAGAAAACCTCAGCCACCCCCTCCCTGACTCCAGCTTCCGGCTCACGTAGACACCAGAAGGCAGCGGCCATGGCTCCCGTGACTGGCTTCCTGCCCTTTACGAGGGGACCCTGGATTGAGTTCCGGGCTCCCAGCTTTGGCTTCAGCTAGGAGTGAGCCAGCCAAATGGGTTGATCCTTTCTCTGTCTTTCAAATAAGTAAATAAACTTTTTTTTAAAGAAATGAATGTGCCACAAATGGTATAATTCCATGATCACGAAGCAAATTTAGAGTGCCAGAAAGCAGAGCCATGGCCGCCCAGGCAGGGGTAGGGAAGCAGAGCGGCTCCTGGGTAATGCTTATTTTGGGGTTGTTGAAATGTGTTGGAATTAAATCTTGGTGATGGTTAGACAAGCTATACACACACAAAAAAAAAAAGAAAAGAAAAGAAAAGAAAGAAAGAAAGAAAGCACTAAATTAAACACCTTTTTAAAAATTGACCTTAAAGCAAAATTATTTCACCCCAGCCCTTCAGGTGACCTGGGTAGGAAAGAACCGCAGGTACCCACACACACACACCACTGCTCCACACAGCCATAACTAAGGTGCTCTTCCCAAATATTATTGTACTGAAATGATGCCAGAATGACGCCCGACCACGTGAGAGCAGTCCAGGCACATTCACATGCTCTAAGTCACAGTGATAATTAGCGGCTAACATGTACTGAGCATTTCCTCTGTGCCAGACACTCTGTCAGGCACCTGACACCCATTGCCTCCTTCCATCCGGCATTGCAACCCTTTCAGGTACACACCATCTCACACCCGAGGAAACTGAGGCACAAACTGTGCCAGCTTACCCGGCTGGGTGTGACTCGATTCATGAGCACCAGTGCTTCCTTCTCCCACTGACCCCATCTTGTCAAAATCACTCATAAACTCCACTGACAAAGCAACAGAGGGTCTGTTAACATAACTATTAGCCGGAAATGACAACCTTGGCCAGGGACCACCCAAGTCCGAGAGGCTGAAACAGCTGACAGCTGTATTTCCCGCAACTAACAGCACTGAAAGTGAAGTGTATAGCCCAAGCATGGACTTCTAGACTATTCCACAATACTCTTTAGACCAATAGGTAGGTGACTCCGTTTCCTCTCTGCCCCCAGCAATCCAGAAGGCTCAGCAGGCACAGCATCAGCCAGGGCACCAACCCTGCGCAGTGTGTGTGAGAGGGTGCACGGGCTCTGCGTGACCCAACATGCCTGAGCAGCAGATGGTAAATGCTGCGTGCCAGATCACAGGAGAGGCCACGGGAAGAGGGCAGCCGGCTGGAAGGGGGCCATGGCACGTCTGAGCGGGGCGGCAGGGCTGGGGCAAGCACGGGGAAAGAAGACGGCTCCTCCAGCAGGGTGAGCCACGTCTAATGTTCTGGAAAAATGAGAGCGGACAGGCGGGAAGGGCTTACGTAAGATCTCCCAAGTCAAGGGAAGTGTTTGGACTTGACAGGACAAGAGACGGGAAGTCATGTTTTAGCAACAACTGTGAAAGATGTATCGCATTGCTTGCCTACTTCATTAAAACACAACAACAGCTACGAACTGGCTTCAGAACTTACTTCCCAGAACCTGGAACTGTGCCTCATATCCAGCTTCCTAAAGCCATGTGATGTATTCTGCTTCTGTCACACCTACACGCTGAGGTAAGAACGACCCCACGGAACCCTCACGTCCGTAAACTGGAGATATAAAATCATTGCTTCAAATCACAACCCTGACCAAGACTGTGTCGTGCACAAAGGCTTCCTCACATAATTTCCTCACACTCCGCGGCTCAGCAACCGCCTCCGCTAACAACCCGTCCCCCGATAAGACAGGCATTTCTCATGTGAAAAAAAAAAAATTTTTTTTTTCTTTTACTCCTTTACAGAAATTGTCACTAACTTCTATGGAGTGCCACAGAAGTCCAGTTTTCTTCACTGTAACATGCCTGGCAAGCACTCACCTCACAGTCGTATTTTTATCCCACCCCACGGAAACTTCTCTCTCTCGAACTTGCACTGCAACTAAATTCCCAGCATCTGACACAGGCATCCACCTGAGGTGCTCCGAGAGGACTTGTCATCCCAGACCAAAATCGCACCCGAGAAACAACCCCCAACAAACTCCTGCGCCCTCACCCCGTCACCGCAAGCTCGGGGACCCGCACGCAGCGGGGAGGGCCGGGCGGCGCACTCACCGGATCAGGGGCTCCTTCTCGGGCAGGGCGGGCTCCTCCGGGCACTGGCACGGGCAGCAGCAGCAGCACACGCTCCTCAGCCAGCCGCTCAGCCCCATGGAGAGCGGCGGCCCCTCTGGCGCCCGCGGCGGCCGGCGGGGCGAGCGATCGCGGCGGGGACGCGGCCACGGCGCCCGCGTCCAGGTGCGGGGACGGGGGTGGCGGCCCGGGCGTCGCGGGCCGGGCCGTGCGCATCACGCCGCGCGGGGGACGCGGCCGAGGGCGGAGGCGCGTCCCCGGCCGCGCGCCCTCGTCCCCTGGGCTTTGCTGTTGGGGGCGTGCGTTCTGGTGCAGTTTTTTTTTTTTTTTTTCCCTCTCTGTGTCTCTTTCCCTCTCTTTTTAACTCCCTGGGCGCAAACCGGAGCGCATGCGTCCCGGAGACGCCGCGCTGCTGCCCTCTAAGGAGGAAGCGGGGACTCCACAGCCAGACGGAGAGCCGAGCACCGCGGCGGGGCTGGCAGCCGCCGAGGCCGGAGGAGGGCTGCGGGGAGAACGCCTCGGAGCCTCCGGCCTCGCGGTGGGGCTGCGGCGCTTCAGCCTTTTGATTGCCAAGGTTTCCAGCAAATTTTCAACGTGATACCGGTCACAGTTTGCACATCCAGCTCTGAGAACCCCTGGGCACCATGAGAAAAGAATAAGTGCTGAAACCCGGATGGTGGCGCAAGGAGTTGACATGGGGCAGGTGCTGGCGTGTCTTGGGAGACTTGAGGGGACAGAACTTCACAGGGTTTGCAATCTGCAAACAGATGGGACACAGCTTTGTGTGGCTCTGCACACATGTTTGTTTGTGTGTTTGTATGCTGTTATGTACACGCATATGTATGAGTGCTTGTTCCACCTTGTAACTATGTGTGTGCGTAGTCCCCTGCCTTTTTCCCCTAACCCCAGCATATCAGGAGACTGTGCCACGTTTGATGCTGAGGGCAGTATGCGTGTTTTCCTCTATCATTTTAACATCTCCGTGTTACACAATCTTATGGATGCCCTTGTGGTATGCAACCGCTACTCAGGGATACTAAAAATTTATTCCAGCCATTTGTGATTAAGATGATAGCACACTGGACATCTTTGGACCCATATGTTTGGACATCTCCTCAAGAATATCAAATAAATGCTTGGCAATTGAATTTCTGGGTCATAGGTAAGATGCCCTATTCATTTTAATGGATCTTGCCAAGTTTCTCTCCAAAGAGATATGTCCAGTTTACACTCTACCCAGAAATATCACAAAGTCCCCACTTCCCTATACCACTAGCGATGCAAGGTGCCACTTCATTTATTTTTGGTCTTTGCCAATCTGGTTTCTTTAACGAATATTTCTGGCACATCTGTTCTGTACCAGGCATATTGTAGGAACTGAGGATGGAGCAGTGAAGAAAACAAACAGAAACACAATCTTTGCTCTCGTGGGGTGGAGGAGTTAGACAACTTTCACGTGAGTAGGTGATGCTAGGCACTAGGAAAAATAAGGCAGGGATGGGATGAAGGTGCTGGGGAGGGGTGTGTGTGACGGTGAAGGCAGGGAGAGTGCTGCCTGCCTGGGTGTGTTTGGAGATGCAGAGAGAGGCAGGCAGACAGGTTCCACCCACTGGTTCACTCCGTAAGTGCCAGCAGCTGGACGCACAGTCCTGGTCTCCCAGGTGGGCTGTCAGAGCCCCAGTGGCTCAAGTCCTCACCGCTGTCTCCAGAGGTCTGCGTTACAGGAAGCTGGAGTCCGGAGTCAGAACTTGGAATTGAACCCAGGGCTCTCTGATGCGGGAGACAAGCTAATTGCTGTGCCTAAAGACCACGCCTCCCCGCGGGTATAAATGCATAGATTCTGGAAGCTGTGACTTTAAAGCACAGATTGGGAGAGGAACAAGCTGGCCATGGTGCAGAAGGAAGAGGCTTTCGGAGTCTGACGACTATCTCCAACATCTCCAGAGGAGCGAGAGGAGACGTAGCCTGAGACACAGCGTGGACCCCAGGGGTTCAGAGTCAAAGAGGAGTAGGCAGATCTTAGAGGACATTGCAAGGACTCCGAATTTTCCTCCATGTCAGCTGAGCAAACCTTTGGAGCTTTGCGAATAGAGGAAGTGATGGGAAACCACCTAGATGCCACTGGCTGCTGTCTCAAGAAGAAGCGGGGTGCCGTGGGCTGTTGTAGGGAGCTGCAAGTGGAGGTCCTGCTGAGGAGTCCGGTGGCAGATGGCAGAGTGGCAGCAGCAACAGTGAGAAGAAATGGTTGGACTCTGGGTAGAATCTGAAGACAGAGCCAACAGGATTTGCTCAGGGATTGAAAGTGGAATGTGGGAGAAAAGGTGGGAGAGATCTGAAGGTTTGGGCTTCACAAGCTGTCAAGGCTGAACTGCAAAGACAGTGGAGTGTGGGAGGAGCAGATGTGGAGGGCGAAGAGGAAGAGCGAGAGTTTATGTTCAGAGGTGTCGATCCTCATGGGTGGTTATTATTTTTAAAAGTGCATTTCTCTGCTTGGCTTGGTCCTGTTCTGGCTTCAAAGTAAGTCTGAAGAGATTTACCAAGTGAGTCTTCGTTAGCAGGCTACAGCGTAAGGAAAAATAACAGAAGACCCCTGTGGCCTCTGACCTCGGTGGGAAGACAAGATAGGCACCCCTCATAAAAGGTTGACAGGATGTGACAGTACCAGCTGTCCCAAGTGGCACAGGACTGTGGCATCAAGCCCACCACCAAGTTGCTTACGCTTTCAGCAGCTGCAGGAAGGAAGGCTGAGTGCTGTTTTAGAAAACAAATTTCCAGCTGGCAAGAAAAAGCCGTTGGAACCCATGGCTGCCAGCAGTGGAGCTGGGCTTATTGGGATGGAGAAGTTAGGGAAAGCGGCCAGCTCTGTCCCTTTATTAGCATTGACTTTTCTGAACTTTAGTTTCCCAACTTGCAAATGAGAGAAGGCAAGTCTGGGCTTGACGGGCACGTGTCTACTCCAGCAAGCGTGATGAAGAGGCGAATGGCCTTCCTCGCCAAGCATCGTGTCCAGTGCTTCACTACGCTAACAAGTACCAGTATTTTTATTCATTTATTTTGTGAAATTATTAACTTATTTCCTCTCTCTCTCTCACACACACACACACACACAGAGTTTTCCTCTGCCAGTTCAATCCCCCAACTGTCAGGGAGCTGAGAACTCAGTTCAAGCTTCCCTTGTGTAAGGGACAGAGACCCAGCCACTTGAGCCCTGAGTGACGGTGTTCCAGGGCAGGCATTCGCAGGAACGTGTAGCCTAACATGACACTGGAACTTCAAACCGGGCACATGCGTACAGAACACGGCATCTTCACCGCCATGACCAAAACACATCCCTCTGTTAAAATGGATTTTAAGTTCTATAAACCTATCGGTGAAACGTTCTTACAAAATAGTGAGACTGTTACAGTCCAGTTTCTTCCTGACCACTACCGTTATTCCCATCTCCTTCCTACCCTCCCCACAGTATGCGTCACAGTCAGATGATGACGTTGTTGTTGTGGATAGCGAGCTTAGCTTTGCGTGCCTACAACAAGCTGCCAACTTGTCACACCTTGGAAAAGTATGCGTAGCTACTCCCTCATTCTTACTGCATTTACTCACTTTATAAGGATCAGGGTTTCCCGCAGGGCTCATCTTTCCAGAGTAGAATGCCTTCACGTTTCTGTTGTTGGTAAATTGCACCCTCGACAAGAATAATAATGCTACCAAACCCTTCAGCTTTAGCTTCTTGGTGACTAGCAGTGCAGTTTGACAACTTCATTTCCTGTTCAAACATCATTCACCATTTTAAAGGTGGTACTGGGCTGTTCTTACTGCCTGCATTGATGCCAACAATGCCAACTGCAGCAGAAGCATCTGATGTTTACCCACAGTCCCTGGGCACCTGATGTTCTGAGTGGAGACAGTTCCCTGGGGCCATGGTAACTGAGAGCCCCACGGACTTCTTGTTTCCAAGGAAGAAGCAGAAGAAAACAGGTTGGCCCCAACTTTCAGTTTTCTCAAAAAAAAAAAAAAATCTTATGCAGCTTGAAGTCCCTTCTCTTTAAGAAATACTCTGAGGACTTGTGAGACTTGAAGGAAAAGACATCTACAAGGCAGACAAAAATAGAAAATTGAAGTCTTTCAGCTCCAAAAGCACATCACGAGTACAGTCTATGGAAAAGTTATGCCTGGAACGATGCAGCACTAGCTGGTTATATCAAATAGTCCTTCCGCAAGTATTTTGTGAGCCAACTTCAGGGGATTCAATGATGAACTAGACAATAAGTTCCATGAATGAAGGTGGGGCCTTGGTTTTACTCTTGGTAGTTTCCCCAGAACCTAAATAGTGCAAAAACAGGAAAGTCCCAGGAGACAGATGGACACACTGCACAGCCTCTTCTGGAAGAGTGCGTGTGCATGGCAGCGTGATGAGCATGTGTTGCTGGGAGTGTGTTGACAAATGTAAGAAAATAGACAAACAGCTATTTAATATTTGCGTGGGAAGTTCTATCTTTCGAATGATCTGTTAGGAACTGCCCAGTTTCAGGAAGGAAAACCCAAAAGCCCACCACCACCATCCTCTTCAGAGATCTCAGACCTACCAGAACTCCTCCACACTCAGAGCCAACCTCAGCATTGTCACCCACACCAACCACCCGAAGGGGAATGCCACCCTGCCTCGCGTCTCTGGAGAAGTCGCCGGTGAAGGCCAGCATGACTAGGCGTCACCAAGGGAAAGGCCAACCCAAGGTCCCCATAGGGTCTCTTATTTCTTCTTCTGCAGTTTCCTTTCTGTACTAACACTTCGTCCTCCTCCAGATAACACAGTCCACCCCAATCGTACGAGTCACTTACAGGCAAGGACCCACCACATCCCACCCCCAGCCCTCAGCAGAGGGTGAGCATATACACGAGATGAGATGATCAAATACTCTTCCTACAAGCTACCTCTTAAGGGCAAGGACCTGAAGACAGGAAATGACTGAAGTTGGAGCATGGTCTATTATGTTGAAGGGCAGCCCAGCACCCTTGCATTGTGGCCGATGAGAGCTTGCCCGCACCTCTATTCCCCTAGGTCAAGTCATTTCAGCTTTCCCCA